GCGCTGCCGCGGGGCCCTCGGGCCGCCCGCGTCCCGCCCTGCAGCGCCCGCATCCGCGTGCAGGCGCGGTTCCCGGGAGGGTCGGGGAAGGGAAGGCAGCCCCTTGGCAGGGCTGCCCGTGTGTCCCGCTGCTCGGAGCGCCAGCCGGAGCCCTGGCGTGGGGAGCTGCTGCTGCAGGTTGATCTTGAGAGCTTGGCCTCCCGGTGAGACCCGCAGCAGTTAGCTGCTGGTCGCCGCTGGTTAGCTGCGAAAGCTGGGGTGCTTCACAGCAACCGGCCTCCGGGTTCAGCAGATAACAGGAATAGAAACTTGATCATTGTAAGCAGAAGCCTGGTGTGGTGGAGGTGTTTTGGCACTGCCCCTTTTTTGGGTTCTAGTTTGGCTTGTTTTGCTTGTTTCTCTAGTGAGTGTGGCAGTAAAGCCCCAGGTAAAAAGAAGCTCCCACCAGAGGTGAAGAAATTGGTAGAGAACTGAGTGCTGCTTAGTGAAAGGGATGGGAAGGAGATGGAGGTTTTCTGTGTTTAGTTATTTCCAGCCTGAAAATGAACTTCAGAATATTCTGTGGAGATGATCCCTTCTGAGCAAGTTTCTTCAAACAAGAAGTGTTTGGAGGCTTTTTGGGTTGCTTAAATACTTAGGAAGGAAGCTTCTTGATGAAGAGCTCTCAATTCCAAGCAGCTMTTGCCCGCCTAGGCCAAGCTCCTTGGGTGCCGTTAGGACTTCGAGGTCAGGTCTCGCGTTTCCCGGCTCCTTCCGCAGCGTGAGGCAGTAGCCACAGTGCAGGGCGCCGCTCCGCGTCCCGCCTCGCGGAGCTGGGGTCCTGGCGGGAGAACCCCCGGAATCTCCTGCTCTTAAGGAACTCCCAAAAAAGTCAGTGCTAAAGCCCTTCCTGGTGTGGAGGGGGTTGCTGGGGCCAGCATCTTTCCATGGTGGGGCTGGTGTCATCGCTGCTCCCTGCCCTGGGAGATGGCTCTGATGGTGAAAGTGGAGCTTGGGCTGTCGTCTCTTAAACTGAAGCCTTTTCAGTCATTTGGTCAGTAATGGTTTAGCAGCTCTCACCTCGGGAGTTAGAGGTGTGATGATTCGTCATATGTTATATGCCTAGTATTAATTTGGAGGTTGAATTCTTTGTTGGAAACAAGATTAAAACCACATGAAAGGTGCTTTCCATCTTTCCTCGGAATAAATATTTACATTCCTCTTTGCATGAAAGGCTGATGTTTCTCTAGAAACCTTGCTCACAGGTTAGTTGTTTTCATTTAAAAGCAAAGTTGCTGCCACTCTTTGCATGTGCTGTGGGGTTTTGAGTTATCAGGCTCCCCCAAAACACTGCCTGGTGTGTCCATGTAAGGATTCAGCCTGAATGGTCAGTGCTTGCTTTCAACATGGAAGCAGGACACAAGGAATGCTAGAAGTCCCATATGATCTAGAGATTCAGTAAGGTGATTTTGCAGCATGGGAGTTTCGCGTGCCTGTCTTTAGTAAAGGAATCTCAGCGTTTTAACAGCTGTTTATTCCTCTCCAAGATAACTCAGCTTTTGTGAGGCTGGGACTGTCMCCAGTTGTAGTCCTAAACTGTTAGCGTTGGGAAGCATTTTGGCAGACTTTGACCCCGGCTGCTTTGGCAGACCGAACTCTGAAAATAACTGGAACTTCTAACCAGGCTCCTCCCCTTCTTTCCTGCCCGTAGCTTTTTATCCTTTTCCCCTTGCTTCCCATTGTACCTAATGGGATGGAGCTAGAGAAACTGTCCTGCTTAGTGCTGCACAGCAGCTATGCGGTTTAGATAAGCCCTACCTTTCACTAACACGGCAACTGAACTTTAGCAGTGGGGAAGGGTGRCATTTTTTGTTTAAGCTTCTGAGCTAGGTGATTTATTGCACCTCATTTTAGCTTTGGGTTGAATTTCCATGTTAGACATCAAGTAAACTGCACCACCGTGTAAAGGGAAGGTGGTTTTTCTGTATCGTCCAGCTGTTGAAAGCACTGCTTCAGTTTTCTGCTGTCTAGGCTTGCAGATTACCTGATGTAAGAACTGGTTGACAGTGAACAGGTATTTAGCAACACTCCTTTTGAAGGAGGGCATGAGCTTTGGAGCTTGGAGACACATTATGTTCAGGGCTGCTGGGGCTTGCAGGTTTTTATTTACTCACGAGTAGTAAACATGGGCTTCAGCAGCAAACTCTGTAAGATGGAGTGTGCCTGCTCCTCCAGGTAGCTGTTACCCCCTGCCTCTTCTATAACTTTCATCTGGGCAAGATGCATGCAAGTGTTTTGTATAACACTATTTCTGTACTAGAAATAAATTTTGGTTAAGAGGTGGCTTGTAAAAGCCAGGGTCACTAATGACTGCTATTTTTTAATAGCACACGCTAGAATAGCTTGTAAGTATCCTCCCTCATGGTGCAAAACYGGTGGCTTCAGTCTTATGACTGACTAGATGAGCAGCAGAGAGAGTGAAATACCTGAAAACAGGTTGAAGACCAAGACCTGCCAACTGGGAGCTGTAAYGGGGAGCTGTGGTCACAACTGTGTGCGCACTTGCGGGGGGCCGGGGCTTTTTCAGCTAATCTTCCAGTGCAGGAGTTGGGGCTCGATTCTAAATTCTCTCGGCCCTTCAGGAGTTAAGTCCAGTGAAACAGTACTATAAATTGTGGAGGATTTTTCTACTCCTGCAGAAGAGATGGGCAGCTTCCCAAAGTGCAGAGCAGTAGTGAGCTTGGCTTCAGCTTCTGCTCTGTAGATTCCAGAAGAATTTTGACATGTCCAAGAACTGCAGTGTAGTCCAGCCGAGTGGAGGAGTAGAGAGGTAGCATCAATTTAAAGACATGGAGCTTTATTTTAYCTCTTATGCCAAACCTTGTGCAGCAGGGACACTTAAGCAAAACCAATGTGTTGGGAGTTCTGTTGGTTTTTCTTGCATTCTGAGTGTTAGGTATCTGTGATTCACAAAATATATTCTTTTCTGCGTGTGTGATTAACCTGAGCCATACATAACTTTAACTCAAAGCTACTCAACGTGAATTTTGAGTAGCTTTGGGGATATATTGTTTAATCTGAAATAAGCTGTTACCAAAAGGAAAACAGTTTCCTAATGATGCAGTATTTAAGGTGATGGCTGTGTCCACTAAGCTAATGTGGCACCAGTCATAGTACTAAAGGCTTTTTCTGTGAGGAGAAAAATGCTGAATTGGAAGTTCTTTGCTACATTTTCTCAAACGTGAAAGCTGCATCTGCTGCTTCTCAAGAATTTGGGGCAATTAGTGGGCAATAAGTGGAGCTATTTATTTTCTGCCCCTGTAGTTAACTTCAGGATTCTCAGGAGATTTAGGTCTTTCTGCAAAAACAACTGAAGTAACCTAATGAGTCTTGCTAACAGACATAGGTTTTATATTTTCCCAGCTTCTAGCAGTAAGCAATGTGTGTGCTTGATGCTTAGTCAAGGTACAGAACTAGTTTTCTGTTTATGAATTTCACTTGGTGCTCGAGACCTTGACCAACAAAGAATGGGCTCATTCACCAAGTTATTCAAATCTGTGAAACCAACTGGGACTTGAAAAAGCAGAAGAATGGGTGAGAACTTAGGTTTCAGATACTGAAAGACATTACCATTTGTAGTAAGCAAAATTCATTTGGTTTAGTTCTCTTACAGTATGCCCGTAACTTGTCTGAAATTCCTTGCCATTAAAAGAGTCCAATGGCTGTCCCATCCAGYGCAGAGAGGATGCTTGGCAGTAATACCCACATTGCTGTGAAGAGAAGTGCCCGTTGCACTGTGCTGCCCGGCTTGATGGGTAAAAACTCCCGGCCTGGGAACCTCGGTGCCCAGAGATGGCCTTGCAGCTTCTTACTTAATCAAGACCAGCACTTAATGATGACCCTTCTAACTGAGGGATCTGTGTGAAACTCCCGCCTTGAATATCTTAAAAAAACTACATCCAAACAAAAATAATGACGTGAAATAGCCTGACATTAAGTTGCCTTTTTTCCTTTCACTTTCCTAATAGTAAATGGTTGCTAATAAATTTTKGCTTTCAGAAGGAAATTGTGGAAGTAGCTTGAGCTTAGTGACTTGCCATTCATTTTACTATGCATGTAGCAAAAGTTGTCTTATTTTAAACATCAGGTTTTTGACCAACATTTTCTATCAGAGTGGCAGCTTCAGAAGGAGGTTTGTGAGGTCAGTGAAGAGACTTCCAAGAGGCAACTACAGAAGCAAAACTTCTATGGATCGTCTTTAGCTAGAAGTTCTAGGCATAGAGCCTGTTTGTAGGACTAGCTTTATGGCTGCTGTAGGAGAGTCACAGCTGTTCACTAGTATGTCTGGTTTATGAAGATGCTTTGCCTCTAGTCATCTTGGGCTGCTTAACAAATGCAAGTTGAAAAATCCAGAGGAGCTTTTGTGACTTCAGCACACCTGGAAAGGAAGCTGTTCGTGGTGCTTGAGTGTCTCCAAACTCTCTTGTAGAATTCTCAAAGGAGAAAATAAGTGAGCTCTGCTGCAGCATAGAAAACCTTTCACACGTGGTATTCTTTGTTCCTACCTTTTAAGGAATTGCAAATTCTCTTGCAAGACTTTGAAGAATTAGATAATGTGTGTCTTCCCGATAGTCAATGATTCATGTTWTAAGAATTATGAAGCAGCATACTTCTGGATGTATGTTAAATTACTCTTGTCAATGGGATTTTGTGGTGACTTTTCTGCCCCTTACAGAAGGGGCTTCAGTGCAAACTTGAGTTTGCTGGGGATTTTAAGAGCAGTAGCTTAAACAGTTGAAATGGCTTCTTTCTGTTGCAGGAATTCTGTGCAGCATGTTTTCTGGGTGGAACTTCGTGGCCCATGGGTTGTATCTGTTCTTGAATTTTTGCTCTATTGAAGGTAAGACTTCTGCCTAAATATGAGACCTGTAGAATGGTAAGAAAATGAAGCATCAAATTGTGATAGTTATCTTGAGTAGTCTGTATAAAGAGATAGTGGAGATGGCTCACTTAGGTGGAAGGCTGCCCTGGTCCCATTGGCATCGCTAGCACTAGTCACTCTGAAAGATTAAAGTGGTAAACTTGGTCCTGTGGAGTCAAACTTGAAGTGATACCRTATTTGGCATACTCAAAGTTCAAAGTCTCTGTGTGAAAGCCTTTCTTGGTCAAGCTAAACGACAGTACACTACTAATGAGCTTGTGTTGTGGACTCTCTACTCAATGTTTGGACCACTTTTATTTTGCAGCAAGTGATAATCTAATCTTAGCATGGCTATGGATTCAAGTCAGTATCTCAGTCAGCTCACTATTCCTTAAAGCTTGTCACTAACTGTTGGTACACAAGTACATTTACACTTTGAAATTGGTTTTGTTGAAATTTCATTAAAAAGAGAATAGTGCTAGCGAACGTGGAGCTTTCACTTTGATTCCCTAGTACTCTCAGAGCAGACAGACTGAAGCTTTCAGAATGGATGATGCAAATATTTAATTGTTAGTGTGTGATTTGTTAACTAACCAGCAGAAGTGCATATTTGTTCTTTTTTGATGCTCAAAAGAGATTTTTTTCTGCTGAGGAGAATATAAATGTAATAGTAATCCCAGATATGTTACCTTCATCCAAACAATTAATCCTGGATTCTTTTTCACACTCTGTAGCGAAGAACCCTTGTGACTTTTTCTTTCCTCTTTCTTTACCCCTTGCTTGTTAAAATATTCTGGCAAAGTCAAGGGAAAACTGCATTGATTTTTGCCCTTTTAATCTGCACTGGGTGATTCACTAATGCATTTCACTCTTGCACCTACCAGGTAACTCAGTTAATTTCCTGCTTTGCAAGACTTTTAATCTAGAAGTAATGTTGATCCAGAGTATTGATTATTAGCTTTTATATTCAAAAGAAGAATGGCAACATTTTTCTTCAGTTTCAGGTGGACTTGTACAGTCATGTGGCCACATCATCCCGGAGTCTCCTGTGCTGGCCCTCGGGTCCAACTTCACAGCACTGTGCATCCTCAACGAGAGTTGTCTGGACTTTGGCAATATATATGCCAATCAAATTATCTGGAAAATTAAAAATAGACTGGTACCTAAAGAACAATACCGTGAAATAAACAGGACGGTCTCCAGTGTCACATTTAATGACACTTCTTCACTTGCTACTCCTCTGACGTGCAACATTTTGGCAGATGGACAGATTGAGCAGAACATCTATGGAATCACTGTTACATTAGGCTGTAAGTACCTTTTCCTTGGATTGCCTTTTATTTTTGTCCAAAAGACTAACTTCTAGGTGGGAAAAAAAATCACCTGTAAATGTAAATCACTATGTAAATAAATGTATACTGAGAATTTTTTTTTTCTGYTTGAATCTCAGTCTCCCAAATCAGTGCAGGAAACTGAATCAAACTGTGTGTATTCAAAGCTAGTAAATATACCAGAAAAAAAAAAGTTTTTTAAAAAAGTACAGAAAATACCAAGGCTTATTTCATATATGGAAATAGATTGTAGCAAGAAGACTAGATTTTGGAAGGAACATTAAAACATTCAAGGAAAGAAACCAAATTTTCCTTATTTACAGGTTGTATGCAAAGAAAGAATCATGAAAGCTTTTTCTACAACACCCCTGTAAACTTCTTTTCCCCTCATCTGAGGAAGATATATACAGGCCATCAGTAATACTGAATCAGAAGCGAGCTGCCTTAAAACTACAGCACTCTGAATTGTTCTACTTCTATACCTTAGACAGTATTTTAAAGTAATTTTAAACTTTTCCTGTTTGAGCACTACATAACTTGCATAGTTCTTAGCATTTGCTGTTTGATAAAAGATTGAGATAGTTGGGGGGGGAAAAGGCAGTCTACTGCTGAGTGAGTTGGCAACAGTATATAAAATAAATATGTTCATAGGTGTCCTTTATAGGGTGTGAAATACTAATCAACTTTACACCTTTTGCCAGCATTAAAACACTTTCAGCTGTCACAATCGGTATGCAATAGGTAGCCTTAAATTCACATTTTAATATAGTTCTACTGTGAAATAGAAAAATTGGTACAACCATATGTACTCTGTGGTAGATATTCGAAATGGTAGGAACAAACTCAGTGTTGTCATTGCATTTTACAACTTGAATTATAAGTGAAAAACTGTAAGCAAAAAAGGTAATTTGGCTGCTCTCTGGAGAACATCTTACAGGTAACTGGGGTGGGGGGATTGAAGTGTCTGCCCCTGCAGCTGGGGGAAAAGAGACCTGTAACTCACCCCACCTCAGGTTATTAGTAGAGCCAGTATATTTAGATACATATTACACTAACCTTTTCCTGCATTATTAAATTAGTACTATAGATTAGAATTAAATTAGTACTATAGATTAGAAAGGGCTCTTACCTTTTTTCTGCTTTAAGAATGAGAGGTGTTTCTGCTGTTTCTTATTCAGCTGCTTGTTGCCTTTATCACCTGCTGTTTCTCAAACACCTGATTAATGCCTTGACTTCTATCACTGGACACTCTCTAGTGCTTTTTACGTTCTGCTTTAAAAAGTCATTTAAATGTATATACCTATGTGTATAGGTATTTGCTATTTATATGTTGATAGAGAAAGTTTCTGATATCTGCTGAAATTGCTCTAATAGTGATTCTTATGGCTTTGAAATGTTCATGGATTATCTTGAGTATTTCTTATATGTTTATGGACTGTCCTTACTAACTTTTTCCATACAGTGCCTCCGGAGAAGCCCAGAAACTTAAGCTGCATTGTTCATCAGGTGTCAAAACTTACATATCCTATGACTTGTACCTGGAACCCTGGAAGGCATACATTCCTAGACACTCAGTTTAGGTTGAAATACAGGTGGTAAGTAGCTCTATAAAGTCTGTATAGAACACAGGGAGTGTGTGTGTGTCCCTTTCCACAGGGAGGCAAATATTTCTTTCAGACTTTTCAGATGGTCCCTTGTGGTTGAAGGAGGAATAGGCAGCACTCTTTCCAAGTATTTTGATAAAACCAGAGCATAGTAGARGCCTTGGTAGATTTAAAAGGAAGCTGGCTTAGCATTAGTTTTTAATGCCCTTAAAACTGTCTCTGTGCTGTTGGTGCAACAGGAGATGATGAATAAAAAGTGTAGTAAATGTAACACTGTTTTGGGAAAAATATGCCGTTGAAAAGTGGAGTACCTGTTGGGATGCATAGCTGTGCTTTAAAGTTAGCTATTAGTCATATTGTTCATGGTTACAGGTACCAATTTGTGGACTTTAAGCTACTGTTTTTCTTGGCACTTCCTGCYTGATACCCTGTTTCTCCTTTGTTCAGGCCACGAGAAGATTTTCCGGACTGCATACCAAAAGATGCCAACAACTCTTGCACCATCACTGATGTTCAGTTCTTTGTTAACCTGGAGGTCTGGGTAGAAGCTGCAAATGCTCTTGGCAAGGCAGAATCTGATCGTCTTGTTTTTGATCCCATTGAGATAGGTAACATAAGTTTGTCTTTATGTGTATTGATGAACCAGAATATTATTTGTCGTTCACCATTATTCACTAATATGCACTAATTGTTATTCACTATTATTGATATATAAATTGGGTACCTACAATGATAGAGGTATAACAGTGAAGAAACAGCGGTGTTCTACAATTGACTCTACATTTTTTTTTCTCTTCTAGTGAAACCCCTGTCTCCACATAACCTGTCTGTCAATTCAGGAATATTGCCTAGCGTTCTGAAACTTTCCTGGGAGAACYGAATTTCAGCAGCTGTGATGAAACTGAAATTCAATATTCGCTATARGATTATTGGTGAAACAGACTGGATGCAGGTAATGCTAGTATCGTTGTGTCAGAATCAAGCTGCTGAACTGCAGCACAAGTGGGAGTTTTGTGTTCTGCTCCCAAGATAGTCTGCCTGGCTTATCCTGAAGGCTGGGGTCTAGGTGAGCTTTCCAATGGTGATTTTGCCTTTTATTATATTTTGGGGGTGGACTAATCAGTTTTTTCCCCCCTGTCATGCTGAAGGATGTGCAAAACTACTTAAAATCCACTTGGCAAACACTGCAGTCCTGGGATGTGCTTTTGAACTTGCAGAACATTCACATGGATTGTTCTGCATGTGCTTCAAGGTGCAAGGCTGCAAGGCTTACAGTATCTTGAGCATATTCTTTAACTATAGTGCATTGTAATATATATACATATAATATCAAGAATTGTCTAAATTTTCTTGTTTTTATGTCACTGTCCTTTAGCCACTATCCTAGATTGATATGAGGCTTCTAGCATAGGCTTGGCAATCTAGCCTTATTTGCAGTTGGTAGCCTAGCAGATACACAAAAAAGCCCTGAAACATAATGTGGAAGAGTTATGTAGGGAGGAAGAAACTTTATACAATAATCTGTTTAGCATAAACTGATTGAAAATGAAAACTGAAATGAATATATAAAGGTTGCCCAGAGATAGCTGTTTACCTCTTCTAAGTTATTTGTTTTGTATTGCACCTGGTAACTAAACACACAGCTATGATTACTTTCTTGTCAAACTGATGGTTGAATTAAGCCTTTTGGAAATAGGATGAAGAAATTGAGGCACCGAATCTGTCAAGTGTGTGTTTGTGTTTAGGGTCTAAATCTCTTCTTGGTAAGAAACTGTCTTGTGAGAGCTATAGTAACATAGAACTCAGCCTTTACAATGCTTGGTCATTGCCTCTAAAACACCTTCCTTCTCTTTCAGATCCCTCCTGAAGATACGGCCTCACCAAGAACTTCCTTCAGTGTTCAGAGTCTCAGGCCTTACACCGAATATGTCTTCTCAATTCGGTGCATGAAGGAAGATGGAGTGGGCTATTGGAGTGACTGGAGTGAAGAAAAGACTGGAATGACAACCGAAGATAGTAAGTAWGGCATGAAAATAGGAGGCTAGTTGTTAAACTGCAAGTGTTTATCAGCTTGCCAAAAGCCATCTGATATTCTGTATTTTTGAGCTGTTTGTTTATTCATGCAACGAGGCCTCTCCTCAACTGCATTTCAGCCAGGCCTTTCGAAGAGCATGAGAATAACTTTAACGAGAACCCATGTTCTCAAGAGAAAATGGTTTTGTCTCTGTGTACTCCCCTTTGGGGGATGATGGAGGGATGAGGGATTCTGAATTTGTTCTGTTATAGAAGTTATGCTGTTTGTATGAAAATTTTTGATGAACAACCACTTATTTCCTAACTTCAGAAGGGTAGAAGAGTGCTAGAAAGTCACAAAAGAACAGCTATGAGTAAACATGGGCTACAAGAGTCCAGTCATGGTGTACATAATCCTCTTGCCAAACTAAATAAAGAAATAAAACATACATATTGGATGTACAGCTCCTTGTTCTCCAAAAATACAAGTAAGACTATTCTGTTCTGCTCAACATCTTTCCTGAGAAACTTTGCATCTGTGGCATTTTCTTGCCACAGTGTCACTGTAGCCTTGTCTTACACTCTTGCATCCACTTACCCTTGATTACTGGGGATAGAGTAATATGAGTATTAATATTCTTTACTAATAGGGGAGAGCAAGAAAGAAGGAATGCTATGTAATGACCTGTTTATTTTAAGCAAGATTAAACCTATATGCAGAAAACAGTTTTATCTGCAAATAAACTACTCCTGCCTTTCAGTTTTCCTCACTGGTGACTCAGTCATTGTAACCTTGCAGTTCTGGGCCTTCATCATCCTTTCTCTTGATGCGGTAGAGTAGGGAATTGTATCATGATTTAGTGAGGAAGACTCCAGTTTTAACTTTAGATCATTGCTTGTGTACAAAAACACTTTCCAAAAGGCATATACATAATTTCATCACAATATTAAGCCAATATTTTAATTAACTTAGCTAAATGTGATAATTAGGCTTTGGCAAAGCACTAACTTTTAGTAAGCTTTGACCTGGGTGGGGGGAAAGAAATACTGAAGAGACTTTGTTAGTCAAGAGTTGTTTTTTCCTGCTTCCTTAAGTGGATCTGCTGCCTTGTTAAACTGCCATCATGTCCCCAGCTCCTTGTACCAACCCAGCCAGCCCTCTGACTCCTTGTAATGCTTCAGTTAGTGCTGATGACACTGGCCCCTTCCACTCAAGTGTCCAGCCCCTGGAGCAGTGAGCCTGGTACTGCCCTTGAGGCCTTTTGCTAAGGTCTTTAACTCTGTAACATGTCACTTGCTGAAAAAGTTTGTCACTGTACATAGAATCCAAGCTCTRATTTCCTTATTGATGCCCCCATGTCAGTGTATAACTTGGTCTTTCTGTGGTCTGCTTTCCTCTTGCCACCACTCTGAATAACCCCTTTTGTGAATGAAATGAAAATGATTTAGCATCATTAACAGATGCTTAAGAGTGGTAGCCTTGTGAATCTGAGTCTCCACCACCATCAAAATAGCCCTGAATACTGTATTTGCTTGTCACTAAAGCCATAGAACAAACAAATTCAGTGTGTTGTAGGCAGCTGGGCCATGACACTAGGTCTTGTGAAATGCAGTAAATATGACTATTATCTGGTTTTTACTAAAAATAAGCATAAATAAAGATTAAAAAATAATAGGCTTTTTCACTCTTCCTGCCCTGCTCGCTGATTTGTTAGCGTTGTTGATATAATAAATGAAGTGACTTGAAAATAAATGCAGTGGTGTAACTTCCCCTYCCGAGTTTGAGGAACAATTTTCAAGGCCTGGTACCCTCCTTTACCTGATTAAATGTCCCTGGCAAAGCTGTATAAAAAAAGTTGTCGTTTCTTTTTATAACACAGCTGTCTATTGTGAAGATTGAGCCCAATGTCTGCTTGTTCCTGCTCTTATAATCAGTTTACAAAACTGAACTCTTGACTGTTCTGTTCTTTAAGACCTGTCTTTCCTTTTTTGGGGGGGTAAAACTTCAAAAACTCTTCAGTGTTACAGTAGAATTGAGCTTTAAGTGCATTAGGAAATGTACCTAAATAAATTATTAATATTAAAAATGTAGTAAAACAATTCCTGGAAAAACYACAGACAAGTTGAGCAAGATCATTGTTGCAACTGTGTCTTTAGATCTCTCTAGCACAGCTAGTGCTTCCTCCAAGGATAGGTAACTCCTGCTCTGTGCAATATAATAGATTGATTCATTCTGCCTTTCAATTACATTAATTTTACAGTGGAAACCTTTTAAAAGTACTGCCACCAAGAAGTATTACAGTATTGCATAAAATGCTGCAGTTCTGCATTCTTGTCTAGGTTATGGTATATGGAGAACCAAGGCCTTAGGGCCAGAGAGAGCTGTAATGGACCCTTCTGCGCTTCCCTTTTCAGCTGCTTTGCTGCCGATGGGTGGGGTGCAGCACACAGAAGTGCCCRTGGATACAGACTGCTCAAGATACCGTGCTCCTGCCTTCTACTGTACTGGCCTGTACAAAAGACAGGACCAAATTCACATCACTGCGAATGCTCGCGTGGTAACTTCAATTATCACTGCACTTAGCGTTGTGCTGGTGTTTTGCCTCTCCCTTCAGGAAACCGCTCCATGAAGTTTTTCTTCCTAACATACCAAACACACTTGCGTTTACATCGTGAGGCTTGCAAGGAAATAAGGAGACGATTTGTAAAAGCTCTTGAAAAGGGGGCAAGAAGCAAGTGGTAGTGAAGTGATGAACTGAAGCAAACTGAGGACAAATATTTCTCTTCTTTCCTTAGAACCATCGAAAGGGCCAGCCCTGTGGAGGATCATTGATGCTTCTCGCTCACCGGCTTTCTGGACAGTGCACCTGGTGTGGAAGGTAAGGCAATAACTTGCTGGATTTGAGTGTTGATTTACCTGTGATTTCAAGTGGAAGAAAACTTAACAGCAAGCTGGAGGAGTTAGCTGGGGTGATACAGGTTTTTACTGATAATAGAAGTAACTTTAATTTCCATAACGATCTGTTATAAGAAGTTTTAGATACAAATGCCATCAGTTAATTGGCACTCATCTGTGCACCAGAGTATGCAGAATCTGCTTTARCACTCTCTAATTCCTTATCTACTCTTTTAGTAGCTTAGGGACTTAGAAGTTTTCACTTGAACAAAGTAAACTTTCATGTTAAACTTTCTGCTGTACCAGCAGCTTTTTTTTTAACATTGGACAGTGATGCTCTAGCTATTCCCTAAGCCTAAAGATGTGCCAGAGTCTAGATTTATTAAATACAACATTGTACTTTTGCATGTAATAGTTCTTTGCACATAGCTGGCAACTTAGCATAAGGTCGTGAAACTGAAATCCACGATGGTCAGTCCCATCTCCTGTGTTCTTGGGTCAGATTTGACCTAGATGTCAATTCCCCCCCACTCTTGGTGTCTTGGGGGAAGTTACCCACATGTTGCTACTGCAGGGTGTTCTGCTCTACCTCATATATCCCCCGTGCTACTTCCAAAATTATTAACCAACTTGGCCTCTGGTGCCAACTAATTAGCTCAGCAAACTTGGCTTTTTGTAAACTGCCCAGTTTAGCTTTTCCAATGTTTTTCTCTCAATTACCTGAAAGCTAATAGTGTTAGAAATAATAAACACTTTTTTTGTTATTTTGGTGTTTTTTTAGTAAAAGAAAAGTATTCCTGCTGTTTTATGTTCAGATGCAACCCAGATTATAACCTGAGATTTATTTTATACCCTTGTGCCTTGGAGGCAGACCAAATGCACGTTTCATCCACACATTTGTTGCCATCTTGACAGAGAGCCTGTATTAGATTACTGTATGGGACTGTGAGCAAAGAGAAGAATTTTAAAAAGAAACAGTTTTGGAAATTACTGCTTTACAGAAACGAACTCTGAATTTGTTTGCACTTTTCTCAAGCATGCAGCTCTTCTATCCATTTAACTTGCTCCATTGCCAGGCATTTAAACAAAGCTTCAAAGATACTAGAGGGTAAGTGATGTTAGCAGCTGTCGGCCTCCCTATGTCTCTTAACAGGCGCTGGAGCCCCCTGACACCAATGGGGTCATCCTGCGGTACGAGGTGGCTGTGCGAGCGCGGCCGCCGGGCGCCCGGCCCCCGGAGCAGCACAGCGTGAACAGCACCAGCCTCACCCTAAAGCTGCCCAACGGCACCTACGAGGTGACCGTGGTCGCCCGCAACAGAGCCGGCGCGTCCCCTCCGTCCGTTCTGCTCATCCCTGCAAGGAATTCCAAAGGTGAGCTTCCTAGCAGTCTCTCTTAGCACATATGAGGCAGATGCATTTGAAACATCAGAAATCTTCAGAGCGTTGCTAAATACTACCTTTTATAGGGACACATAGGTACAGAAGCATTGAATGTGTCGCTGTTTTTAATCATTACAATTATGCTATCATTTGTATAAATGTGCAGGTTTAGTTAATCACAGGTCTGCCTGAAGCTCTGCMATAAAGCTCTGTTATTTTGCTGGATTTTGATCCTTAGAGCAATTCCCTATCAATTTTTTAATAGCGTAGCATTGCTGTAGCAGCCTCCTGGAAGACCTTATTTAATGTGGCAGGCATTTTGGTTTTCCTTTTTAAAAACGGTGGGTGTTGAGGGAGGCATCCTTTACTTAGATACCTGTTGCTCTTCTTCGTCCTTTTCTGTTTTCTTCCAAGCTTTTCTTTGCCTTTCCTGTCTTGTGCCACTCTGACCATTCCCAGTCCTAGAGGCCGCTTGGCCTCTGTTTCCACAGGTTCCCTAGACGTTGGGTGTTGGAGCTTGCCCTAGTGTGTCCCATGCGCTGCCTGTGTGCCACACTGGTGTGTAGCAGTAGCTACAGGCTGATTACTCCCTGTTTCTGACATCTGATGAATACAGCCTCCCTTTAGACATTCCAAACGCTAAAGCAGCAAAGTACAAGAGTCCTGCCGGATCTGCTGCTTTTAGTGTAACAGCTGAGAGAGCTACAGCTTCTAAAACTGCTCCATCAGTTTATTAAGAGTGTCAGTATCTGCTGTGCTTCATAGAGCAGCACTGCAGCCAGATGAATTTGGTCAGGTACATGAGTTGAGGATCAGAATGTGAATTCAGAACCGTCTGAAGATCTGAAATAGAYCCATTCTGTCAGAAGGAATGTCGTATCTGTGTACTGTGCCATAAGAATACTTACAGTATTAGAGAACAGAGAAAATGAGTGCACTTTTCAGTTTTTAGATAGCCTAATACTGCTTAATTTGGATTTCTGACAAAGCAAATGTCCAAATTTCAAAAAATCACTAAGTATCTACATTTAGCAAAATACCTACTGAAAATAGGATTGAAGACCTGTCAGCATTTAATATTTTCCTATTTTGTTTCATCTCAGCTCCTGTGAAGAATATCAGGACGCTCCCTAAAGAYGGCAAGCTGTGGGTAGGGTGGACTGCGCCCAACACCTCCGTCCTCAGGTACATAGTGGAGTGGTGCCTGGTGTCGAACAGCTCGGACTGTGTCATCGAATGGCAGAGTGAACCAGAGAATGTTCAAGGAACATACTTAAAAGGTATTTAACTCGTAATTTTAAAAATACATTGTAAAACACTTTAAAAAGTAATGAATATTCTCAAATTGAAGAACACACTGCTGCAGATTAGAATTTCGATGTGGACAGGCAGCTGGGGTAGAGCTAAGGGCTCCTCTTAGCTGGTCATGAGTTCACTGAAGTGCCTGTATGTTTCTGCTAAATATAAAACTATTCTTGCATCTACTCTTGCATTTTGAAATTCAGGTTATGTAATGGCAGTGTTTTATCTTTGTTTTGGTTTTGATCTCCCTTTAATCTCAGGAACTCTTGAGATGGTGAAAAGTGTTTCTTTAAAATCATATCTTGTGATCCCTCTTTCATTTTGAACAGTTAARACTTGTTCAGCTTTTTATCAGTATAATCAGCATACAGATTATAGTCAGTATGTCAAATGTATGTTTTTTGGAGTTGCAATGTTGCAGACAGATGCAGGCTTCTTAACTTAAGAAAAACTTAGAAAAACAAAGACTTCCCAAGTTTACTTATTGCCTTTAAAACTTTAAAAGTGAACTACTTCATTATTCCTTTAGGTAGTTTCTTACAACAGTGTATCAGTGAATTCTAGGAAAAAAAAATAGTCAATCGACTGAAGTTTAAAGGCATCTAGTAAAACTGCCRGAACTCAGAACCGTAGATATGAAGGAAATGAGAGCTACTGCCTCGGCAACCCAGCACCTTTTCCATGTCTCCTGCAGGGGACATCAAGCCRTTCAAGCGCTACCTGATCACGGTGTACCCGCTGTACGCCGACGGCCAGGGAAGCGGGCGCTCCGTGACCGCCTACCTGCAGCAGGACCGTAAGTGCCTCCTCTCCTCCCCGAGCACGGGAGCTGGCCTGCTTGGCCGAGATCATAAGGCCTGTGCTTTGCTGTGGAGTACAGAATGAGAAATGAGCCTGCTTGGGAGGGTTACTTGTCCAAATTGATTTCATTCCCTCCATTTACGCATCTTCTGCCAGCATATTTAGAGGTTAAACAGATGTCTGTAACTGACTYTTTCATTTGTAAAACTTTCATCACATAATTTTGTATTCTTGATATTTTATCAGTATAGGAGTATTTCTACACTAATTAAGTCTGAAGTTTGAAGTCAAGGTTGACTAACCTGAATTGAAAAATTTCATTTGATCTGCTGATTACTGTTTTTCATATATTTCAAGAGATCTTTCATGTGAAATATTTTTGGAGTTGATATATTGACTGAAAATAATGCTTTGTTGTTCAATTTCAGCTATTCTGCTGAAAAATTTAGGTAATAACTGAGTGCTCATTAATACGCTGCTCTTATGGACAGGATCCTAACAGAATCTAATTTTCATCTCCCATTACAGGTCCTTCAAAAGGACCAACTGTTCAGACAAAAAAAGTAGGAAAAGCTGAAGCTGTTTTGATGTGGAACCATCTTCCAGTGGATGAGCAAAATGGATTTATCAGAAGTTACACAATACTCTATAAAACTGTTGATGGAAATGAAACAGGTAACAGAAAGTAGAGAACTCCTTTGTAATACATTGGAATATTCAGGGTTACTTCTTAATCTGTGTTCAGGAAATAGACTCCAGTGAGACTGACAGTCTGTTTGACACAAAGCAGATGGCAGAGATGTGTGGCTTGCATCAGACATGCACTGGACCAACAGAAAGGCCCCTAATAATTCGTATCATTGAGTCTGTGCAGAAGGTACTGAGTTTTATTTCTGAAAGTTGATGTGCAAATCRGCTGCTCTTGCCTTTCTTCCTAAATATAACATGGCAGTAGAGCAAGATAAAAGCAGCCCATTCAAGCTGGTTAAAATAGATGCAAGTCATTTCTGTGATAAACTTTTAAGCAAAAATAGACTTCTAATAAGCAAGGTGTTACCTCAGCCCGGTGTCAGTGAGGGACACAGGGATCCTCCCACCTCCTGGTGCTGCCAGAGGAGCTGCTCTGGTGCTGCTCCCGATCCCAGCTCAACTCCTCCGTGCTGGACTCCGGCTTCTCCACCCTTAGGGAAGGACTACCTGACTGTGCTCTGGTCACCCCTACAAGGTGCTCCTTCTGGAACCTTCTGGCRAGTTCCGGGCGATTGTGGCGCAAAGTCAGCGACGTGGGTTTGGGTCCCGTGGGTTTGGGTCCCGTGTCGGCCGCCCTGCGAGCRCGTCAGTTCTTGCCCCAGCTGGGCACCATGGCAAAGGACAGCAGAGCGGGACCGTCCTGCCTCCGCAGCACCTCCCGCTTCCCTGCTTTGCCTTTGGGAACAGCACCCAAAGCTGCTCCCTCGCTTTTCGGCTATGTTGGCAGAGTTTGAGCAATTTGGCAGTTTCAGCTCTTAACTCTCTTACTTGATGGGCAAAGACAAGGTGGACTAAAATGGCGCTCATGTTTTCCTTTTCTTTTTGAAGTCTGCTTAAGGCAGATGGGCCAGTCCCTTAYGGCTACACTAGCTTCAATTTCTACATAACCATGTGTTCTATTTATTAATTAGAAGATCTTAAAAACTGTCAGCTTTAGTATCAGTTTATAGCTACTTTTTWAAAAAGTTAAAAATTAACACGTAGAGTTTCATCAAGATAGACTAAATCAGTTGATTCAAATACCTGTACAGAAAGAAAYAAATCTTGGCCCTCCTTGAACAAGCTGTAACTTTGCTGTTTCTGTTGCACTTTCCTTGCAGCCATACACTCCTTTGCAAGTGTTTTGCACCTCTCAAGTCGTGGTGTCTGAGTGCTGCTGTATTCGTGCAGATCTAATAAATTGTAAACAAAACTGATACAACTTTTTTTTTTTTCCTGTGTTTAGCTGTGTCAGTGGATCCTTCCAAGACGGAATACACCCTCTCTTCTCTGGCCAGCGACACGCTGTATACTGTGCGGATGATGGCCTACACAGATGAAGGAGGCAGGAGTGGTCCTGATTTTACATTTACTACACAAAAATTTGGTAAGAGAGGGGCAAAAATAGAAATATGAGATAATGGTGCAGCAGTGTAGCAAAGCTCATTGCAAGACTTGATATGAGCAGAAAGTGATGTTATTTAACAAGATATTTCAGTCACTGCTGTCACAGTTGAAAGCAATGCCTTGAAAGGGAACCTAGGAAAAGGGACATTGCTGCCCTCTTCCGGGCTCCTGGATTGTGCCTGTGCTGCAAACATTTGGCCTCGGGCTTTGGTTTGCTTTGTGTACCCCCAGGAGCTGACACTGACTAGTCTTTTATCCRGTAGTTGTTAGGATTTACTCACTGCCCTTGTCCTCTTAGCTCCTTTGACCCGCCCCCCACCTGCCCCCGCAAGTCCTCAAGACCCTAGGATGGAAGATAATGATCCAAAATCATTGTTTTAGTCTGAACGCATCTTGGTCTTTGTTACCCTCATCTGAACGTCTTGAGAAGCTGCAAAGAGAAGTGCTTGGGATCTCGGCTTGCTCATCTTGGTGCTGATCAGCATGAGACATTATTAAAATTCTCCTTTGGCTTTTCTTTTTTTTTGTTTCCATTTACATCATCGCTAGATTTTATGTTACAATTATTACAGAAACTCATTTTGAAGAGTTTATCCATTTAATATGTATATAGCTTTAAAGAGTGCTTTGTTTTGTAATGGTAAGAGTAACAAAATGAGCAGAGCTCTGGTTTGGAAAGCACAATTACAGATTCATACTTACTGTGCTATTATTCTATACAGCTTTGCTCTTCCATAAATATTCTGCAGGGTTTACAATACTTAAAACTGTGCATAACGTGTTGTAATGTTTTCTTCCCTATAATGCAGCCTGAAGTGTTTGCAAACAGTGGGTATTTTCACAAAGAAAGTGGATGAGTGACTAGTGGCTTGGCTTACCATAGTCATTTGACCATCACTTTGATGAGACAACTGGTAGGCTACTAAACCAGCTGGACCATGGATATATTCATACAGATAGTACTGTCATATCTGCCTAAACTGTAGAATTGCTGATGACTACATGATGACTAAAGCCTCCAGAGCAACCAGCTGTTTGTATTGATGCTCTAGGTTGTTTGGACATGGCTTTTCATGCCTTTCTTAGCAGGCTTTTCCACGGAGTGAAAAGGCTCTTCTGGAGCTGAAGCCTGTGGGTGTAGCGTCTTCCAGATTCTCTCTGTCCTGTGGCAGCACTTCCTGAGTTCCTTCAATTCCTACTGAATGCTGAAGAGGCAGCTATAACTGTTCTTTTCCTTTTATTTTTTCAGGGAAAGGAGAAATTGAAGCCATAGTTGTACCCGTGTGCCTAGCATTTCTGCTGATCGTACTCCTTGGAGTTTTGTTTTGCTTTAACAAACGTGACTTGTAAGTATAAATGAAATATATTTTTATTTTGGGGCACGACAGACATGGCCCTCATTCAGCGTAAGCAAATAAATGCCCAGTGCTYAAGTCAGGAGTGAAAGGTAAAACTCACATGCATCAATTGGTGATAATGTCTATGCTCTCCCTGGGAAACTGAGCTTCTGTGGTACTAATTCTATTTCTTACCCTACTGTTAATGATTAACCCTCAAACTCCTGCTTTTAGCTRTGTTTTGATTACGATTACATTTGCTACAAATGTTTGCATATGCTGCAGATCTTTACACAAAAGAATGTTTTCTCTAGCTCTATTTGAGCTGGTTAATGTTTTAGCAAACACTTTTAAGTTTAGCAACTGAAAAAATGTCAGCAAATGTTTTATCTTGCGTAACCTCTGTCAAATTCTGTGCATGTTTATTAGCTGCGGGGAAACACTTGCTGCTCTTGCTCCTCTCCTGGGCCCTTTACCCTAGAGCTCTTAAGCTTTAGCTAAGATTTTACTGCTGAAATATTTCCCTGGTCAACAGCAGCACCTCTCCCTTCTCGTAGTCCAGACCCCTTTTCCTTGCAGTGAAGGCAGCACTTTATGCTCTTCTCCTTCTCACCTTTCTGCTGCTGCCAACACGAGCTCTCAGTGGGCTGCACAGCCCGTCTCGCAGCGCATTAMGGCTTCTCTGACAGAGTCTGTCTGCGGACGGTGTCTGTGGAGCAGAGAGCAGGATCAGATCCATAAGCCTSTTTCAAAGAAAAAAAAAAAGTTTGGCTGGGGTACTTCAGATGTGATCTAGAGAAACGCTGATGTTAAGTTATTGCATTCTTAAATTTAGGAGTTTTGGGTTTAAAAAAAAAAAAAGGAAGTTTTTCTTTAAACATTTTTTCACAAGTCTGCTTTGTGTGAAGGCTGTTTAATGACAGTTGTGATGGGTGTCTGTATTTAGGAAGTCAGTTGTATTGAAGTGGTAGGAATGTGTTTCTGTATTGCTTTGCCTCCTAGTCTCTGTTTCAGATACCTGCTCTGTAGCTTCTAGAACTCTACACAGTTGAAAACCTCTCCATCCTTTCCCGTCTGTGTGTTTGCATCTATAATATGAATACAGCTAATGTGTGCAGGTTCAATGCTGTGTTTTAATAATACAGCTTATTACAAAGATCAGGAATTGCAGGTGCTTCTATCTGGAAATGCAAAAATGGTCTCATGCTTGAAAAATTAGTTTTAAGGGCCCTGTGTCCTGCATTGTTGAGTACTTGCTACCAACACAGAAATGTTAGGCGTCCATCTTTTATCTCCATTCTAYTTCTAATCCTCTACAGAATTAAAAAACATATCTGGCCTAATGTTCCGGATCCATCCAAGAGTAATATTGCTCAGTGGTCACCTCAAGTTTCAGCTAAGGTAATATTCATCTTCCTGCATTCTCTATCTTAGTCTGTAAGGTTTTAAATAAACTGATCTGTGGGAGTCTTGTCTCTTCCGGCATAGACAGAGATTTCAGGAAAAAAGGAACTGCCTGAATGTTAAGTTCCTGGGCATTAGGGGTATGATAAGGGTAGAAGACTTGATTGCAGCAGTAGATTCAGCATTAGGGATTTATGGCTGGCAGCACAGAGCAGCTTTAACTTTGGGCTTTAASTTGCTCAAATACTAATTCTTTTATTCAGTCACATGGAATCAGGATTAGATTAACAGAATTCTTGACTCCTGTTTTCAAAGCCTTAAAGCCACTTGTTTGGACAGTGAAGTGATGAATGAGAAAAGTTGCAGAGTTGCTCGTGGCTGAGGAAAGCRGCAGCAATTCTTCTGGTCCTGTGAAAGAAGCTTCTACAAAGGGCCCTGATGTTGACTGTGCTATGGGGAAGGAGAGTATTTATGTAGGACTTCAATCCAGAATGTGCCTGTGCTGCACCAAGAATGGTGCTATGGTCAGAGCATTTCAGAACTGCTGAACTTAGGAAAAAGCTCTCAGGTAATTATGGTTTTAGGGTAAGACTTTGTGCTGGAGCAGCTRCATCCTAACTTGAGAGATACTGCCAGGTTCTGTAAGGAAGGAATTTATAGGTGGATCTCAAAGCAGCTGCAGGATAGAAACTGAGGTATTGATGTACTTGATTTTCAAATAACCTTCCTCTTTGGAAAAATCAATTTATTTCTTTCAGCATAACATTAGTTCCAAAGAGCAGATGTACCCAGAAGGCAGCTTTACAGATGTCAGCGTTGTCGAAATAGAAGCCGACGACAAGAAGTCCTTCTCAGAGCAGGATCTGAAACCCTTTGACTTGCTTAAAAAGGAGAAGAGCACCTCGGAGGGGCACAGCAGTGGCATCGGCGGCTCCTCCTGCATGTCGTCCCCCAGGCAGAGCGTCTCGGACAGCGACGAAGGCGACGCCGCCCAGAACACCTCCAGCACGGTGCAGTATTCGACCGTGGTGCTCAACGGCTACCGCGACCAGACGCCGGCCGTGCAGGTCTTCTCCAGGTCCGAGTCCACGCAGCCGCTGCTCGACTCCGAAGAGCGGGCGGAGGAGGCCGACGGCGGCACTCCCAGGCAGATGTATTTCAAACAAAGCCGCGGGCAGGACGAAGSCAGCACGGACAGGCTGCGCTCGGACAGAGCCCAGCAAGCTGCTCCTGCCGCCGAGGAGGATCTTGTTGGCTTCGCGCAGCTGCAGCTCTCGGGTCAGAAYGTGCAGCTTTTGGCCCTGGGGCTGGAGATAAACCCCGAAGAAGCTGCTCTGGCAGAGGTTCTGCAGGCAGGTACTGAGGCACCGTGCACTGCGAGACCTGAAACAGGAGAGGAAAATGCAGCAGCAGTGGAGGAGATGCCCAAAAGTTACCTCCCGCAGACTGTGAGACAAGGGGGCTACGTGCCTCAGTGAGGGAAGAGACTGGCTCCGTTAGGCCTTTACCAGTGCCTGTTCACACTTTCGCCTGTGTTCTTGATAAATTAAGCTAAATATTTTTTATCTGAATGCAGATAAAAATATTGAAGAGTCATTTGACAGAATAKGCAAGGACTATGTCTCTGTGGAAAAGTTACAGTCCAGCCCTACTGGAGACTTACTTCATGCACTACATAAAACCTTACTTGTCTGAATAGCTGAGCAAGCCTTTGTGCTGCCTTGCTTTTCTGTGTCTTGCATCAGATCTACACAACTGAAAAGAAGCAAGTTTCAATAATCACATCTGCCAACAGACCTCCTAGAAGAAATACTTTAAGATTTGCAGCAGTGAAAAAAAGACAGCTTTTATTGTTTGGAGCATCTTCATGCCAATCTAAGGCCTGAAGTTTAGTATTCTCATGCAGGAAAAATGAACTAAAACATGCAGTTTTCAGTAGCTTGATGGACTTGGTGAATTCTGGTTTGGCCCAATGCCATAATTCCTAAATTGTGCAAAATACATTCATCCCACCTTTGAAAAGGGAAGAGAAAATGTGGTAGTGTGCAAACAGAAAAAAAAAGCCATAATTGCTTGGCTCAGTGCTACTGTAGTTATCAGTATTCTGCCTCTGTAAAGATATATRTGCACATGAACTATAACTGGGCTTAGAAGTGTGCCTTGCAACTTGTCGCACACCAGTGCAGTCTTCATTTTTGTTTTCAGCTGGATTTCTAACTTTCAAACTTAGATTTGTACCCAAATCACTGTCTAATTACACTGCACCTCTTTGGTCACGTAAATGGAGACAATTTAATGCCATCTGCAACTTGAGGCAAACAATGAGCTGTAACTTTTTAATATTTTTTCTAACAATGCTTACGAGAGGGAACGTGACTTCCTTCCTTCTCGACTGCAAAGATTATTATGCCATAACTTCACTGCTGACACCCAAAGACCACCTTGGAACTGGAACTAGCAAAAACCAAAGCATTGATCCTGGGCACAGGGAAGGTACCCGACACCCTCAACTTGAAGCGTGTGTCTTATTTTTTCTCTCTTCCCTCCTGTTCATGCAGTTTGCATCTTTTTCAAGATACAGTTCTTGAAGATGGTCTATAAAAGGGTTTAAGGAAACAGCTAGCTCTTAAAAATAAAAACCAAAACCCTTTTGATGAAGTTTTGTGGTACTCCTGTAGATTAAGTTAACTTAGTCTTGTCAGCTTTCTAATCTGACATTATAAAAAAAATCCCAATTAAGAACACTATGTGCCTTGTTGTGAGAATACAACAAGGACTTTATTCCTCCTCAGCAGAGCTCTGTGTATTTAAGACTTGCTGGAACATTTTGTGCTGTGAGCTGCGGTGCTGCTGTTCTAAACACACTTGCTGGAAGGCCCAGGAAGGATCTGGGCCACTGTCCTTTTTACTCCCCGTGTTCCTTTTATGCCAGCCTGCATTGAAGGACTGATGTAAAWATAAATGTTCATGTGGTTTCTGCTGTTACAAAGAAACTAGACAGTAGAGTAACTTTATAAGATTATCCCTGGAAGTCGCTGCTATTCAAAACAGATATAGAAAACAATCTTTAATAATGTCATTTTATTCAGTATTTTGTAATTCCTTTCTCCATCTAGCCYATTCATTAACAAGTTTAATAGCTTTAGTATCAGGGCACTTTTTTYCCTAAAATGCTTAATGTAACTACATTGTCACAACATTCCTGAGTATGTTGGTCCCCTTTTCTCCTCCTTCCACCTTAGCATATTTCAACACTCCCCCAGCAGGTAGGATATAATATAAATTACCTGGCCAGAAGTGCCCTGGAAAAAGTGCCTTTTCCTTTCTGAGAAGTCCAAGGAGCAACCTTACACCAAACACAGTCTGACACTAATAGTAGTTAGTTTGCAGGGGACTGACTGTCTTCCCTGTATAGGCTTCCTAAAGACTGTAAAACCCCACACAATAARCCATAAGCTTTATTTGAGCCACCTGCCTGCTTCTTGGGACTCTCCTGCAGCCACACACGGCCTCGTCAAAGATCTGTGAATGTTTGTGGGCTCCAGCAGTCCCTGCACAAGCCCTTTGGTGACACTGCCCCTCTCCCAGCCTCCCTCCAGCACGTTCTGTGAGACTCAGTGAACTCAACACCCACCTGCTTCCGCTGCTCTTGCTTCAGAGACCTACAGCTCTTGCGATGCAGGTTGCAGATACTGACTTGTGAGAGCAGCTGCGCTGGTGAAGTCACTGCTAAAGATGATTTTGGCCCTGTCTGATAAAGGGAAAACATGTTATTGGTAAGTGCTGTTATTCCTGGACTATTTCCTAAATCAGGCAGCATGCTAAGAGGATGCTCTTACCCATGTCACTTCTGCAATTGCAGTGCTCATTGYGTATAGATCAGCAGTAATGATTGCAGAGGATTATATGAGAATAGACTCTTGAAATAATTCTGTCATATAGGTGATAGAAATATGTTAGTTATCTTATGATCTTGTGTATTTACCTGGGTAAAGACTGAACAGGAAACACTTGTTGGAKAAAAGCTTACAGAAGCCATACAACAAACAAACAGCCTTGACAGCTTGTTCACAACCTCTGTGCCAAAATATGAGAGCATGTAGGGGKTTTTTTGTTTGTTTTAATTCATGTGGAACATCAGCTGATTGTATCAAACGCTTGCACAGAGGTTTTAAAGGGAACGTGATCATGTGATGCATTGGAGCAAGGCCCTGCAACTGGCTGAACTTGGCCCTGTCTGCCATTGTAATCAAAGGGAAAGGTTTTTTTCTCTTTTCTAATTTAACTATGATGCACTTTAAGAAATAAAGGCATTAAAATGAAATGACACTGCAGTGTTGACACTTTCATGCCCATCCTAATTAGCCAGACTGGATTATTTCAGATGGGGTGGAAGAACAGTTAGGACACTGCTGTTCAGTGCTAGGGAAGGGTGGCTAATGCAGATGAGTATTTTCCTCAGTGTTAGCACACAGGGAACTTCTCAAGGGCAGCCTGGCTAGTTAGTTTTCTGTTTGTAAAAAGAAGTGTTCCTAGAGGGAACAAAAAAACCAACACCACAAAAAAAAAAAAAAAAAAAAAAAAAACCACCACCACACAGACACACACACACACAAGAAAAAAAAAGCCCAGAAAAGGGCTGCAGAAAAAAAACCACACACACACCTTCCAACCGACTTCACTGTGGGCAAGGCAGGCCCCTACAGCAGCCTAGCAAAATACTATTTAAGATTTGCAGAATGCTTGGCCCAGGACAGACCACRGGCTTTGCTTTTATTCCTCCTTGGAGAGGGAGAGCCGGGGCAGAAGTTGTCTCTAGTCTGCGGCCCTGGGGAGGTTTTGCCTTTCTGCTGTAAGGCTCGAGCACCACCACGCGCTGACAGCTTAGGGCATCCCCGGCTGTGCAGCTCACCCTGGAGAACTACAACCCAGCCCCTGGTTCAGCCCCAGTAATTTCAATTTAGCTTAACAGCAGGTCTTAACTCGAGGAGCAGCCCAGGAGCTGGTGCTGCCCTAGCCCAGCCTGCACAGCAGGAGCCAAAATCCCAGGGAGTCGCAGGGGCTGCGGACACTTCCCTGGAGCAAAGGCAACTTGCACAGGCCCACCTATCTGCACCAAAGAGGACTAAACAGACCAGCTGGTTTTCCACAGGAAACAGCTGTTGTAATTAACCAGTTAGGTACATTTTTAAAAACACATTAAAATTCTTTAAGCTGCTGTCCCAGTTGCTACTGCAGATGCATATATGCATTTTAACTTCCAAGACTGATTTTTATGGTATTTGGAAGCAATTTATAACAGAGAATGGTGCTGTTATGAAAGCGCAGATTGTGGTGGGCTATAGTTTAAAAAGTCGCCAGTTTAGCGCTCAGGCCATAGCGCTTCAGTATGGTCAGGTTCTAAATGCATAAGCCTGGGGAAGAAAGGCAGAACCAAATATCCTACATTTCACAAATTCCAGATCTCTTAAAGTGTAAGGAAAAGCAAGAAAGCAGAGGCTCATATATACTAACATTTTGTTCATTTTCTCTGTACTGTTCATTGCAAGCTGAGCCACTCCCAAAAACAAGAGCAGTGCTAAAGCTTCAGTGCACAAAGCTGTATTTTAAGACAACATTGACAACATTTGACAATATAAGACAACGGATGAATTTAAARTTAACAGCTAAGAACTAAATCTCCCAGTGCTCATCAGCCGCTCCTTAGGTTTAAAGCAATAAGAACCTCAGAGAACGCTGGCCTCCCTCCACRGCTTTGTGACTGGTTGCACAGGCTGCCTTGGCAGTGGGTACATGCACTGGAGTTGGAGAACTTGCAGGGGAAATCTCTGTAACAGGCCAGACACAAGGGTCTGACCACTGGAAAGCACCTCTCAAGAGACTAACATGGGAAGTACCTTGATGCTGGAGTGAACTGCTAGCAAGATTAGGTCAAATTTTACTGTGTATTTTGRGGAACTTTGTCTCACTAAGCTRCTGGGCACTTGTATGCAGYGACCCAGCTGCAAGGGGCTTGCATGCTCCAGCCAGMCGTTMAACTTGGGAACTGCTGCATAAACTGTTGCTATATGGAAAAGAAATGTTTTAATATCAGTACACTGTCTTCATCTTTTGCAAGCTGCATGTTGGTTATCATGCAAACTCTGCTTTCTACAATTTACATTTTGTAATTTTCAAATGTCTTCCTCTGTTACCCAACTGAGCCTCGATGTTGCATTTGTCTACTACAAAATACACAAAACCAATCCAAAATTATTTATATGCTTTGTGTGCTGAAGTCAGAGTTCTTGCAAAGCTAACTTAAATAATAATCACAGAAGAAATAGTCTGGACACTGCTTAATAGGCAAGAAATTAAGAAACATAACCAGAGATGTGACCACAGTATACCCAAAAGGTAAGGCTGCTTTCATACATAGTACTTTTCTTGCAAAAAAAACTAATACACACAAATATATATTCAGATACCTATTTGGATACMGTGGGGAAGTTCAGCAGAAGATGAACTCTTCAATCCTTGTTTTTATTTTAATCCACTTGTCATAGGTATAAGTTGCAGTGATGGTGGTTGGTGAGAGCACTGGACAAGGGAGCCAGTGCCATTCCTACTGCTGCCAAATCCCGGTGTATTCCCGGTGTTCCTGTCTCGTGATAACCAGCACTTCTTGGAAGAAGGGTGGCCCTGTCTCACTGCAGCTTGAAAACAAGTCTCAGGAACCTCATTGCAGGCAAGCTTGTTTGTGTCTGACAACATCAGGAAAAGGACCAGAAATAATGATCAGTTCCAAGAGAAATTACAACAGCAAGAACGATAGCCCAGGTTACTCATGCAGACTTATTTCCAAGAAATGAGTTAGAATCCAAAACTGGCTACTTTAACATTAGTCTTAATCTCCCTGGGCTTTGTTTCTTCTTTTTCCAAGAAATGGAGGGATCCTCACAGTTCTACTTCTCAGCAAATGCAAAAAGCACATTCAGATCTTCTGGTCAGAATCTGCACACATCAGTAAGGGTTCAAAGGCAGCAAGTGAGGGGAGAAAACAGCTCCTCCCTCCCAGCTAAGACTGCTTTTTGTAGACTATCAAGAGTTAAACAGGGCAGAATGACACCTGTATTACTGTGTGTATCCATCAGCATCAAGAAGCATTTCTTACACAGCAACACAGCARTGATCCCAGGGCATAACAACAGGTAATTTCAACATTCCAAATGYCTACTTCACTATRCAGTTTTCCTAGCCACTATTAGGAAACCTAAATACAGCACCTTAAGCTTCTGCAGTGACATCYTTCATACTTCCTTCTTCTTCCATGGCTGATGACCAGGTTCAGCATTACTGCTTGACACCTGCTTGGGGAAATAGAGGCAGAAGAGGTAGCAGCAGCTCTGGCTTCACCGAACTTCTGATTCTGACACAGTGATTTCCTGTAACTGTTGAAATAAACAGAGGAAATTGGCCTGGACAGGGAATGCCGGGAATGCTGTGCTTTCCACAGGAAACACATACTTGTGTAGCTTGTGCACCAGGCCAGCACATGCCTTCCAGCTTCCTTGGAAGAGCTATTCATCTGCATGGCCCCGCTTCAGCAGAGCCCCAGAAAAGCTGTGGAAGTCACTAACCAAACACCAGGGATGGAGCAGCCCAGAGTTTTCCACAAGTGACAAACAGCAGCAATACAGCACGGGCAACAGCTAGTGGCAGTCAAAGCAGATGTTCAGACCTGCCTTCTCACCCTGTGTCTGGAGTTCTGTGCACAGGGAGGGAATACTGGTKCATTCTGACCATCAATAATCAGAATAACATTGAACCTGCCTGCAAAAATCTCTTCCACRCATTTTCTTGGCCTATCTGCTGCATGTTTATGGTGCAGCAGCACCATCTCCTCCCTGATCTCCAGCATGCTCCAGCTACCAGGCAATAGCCAGCAAATCCCAAACACCCTCCCCTCTTGCCAACCAAATGAGAAACCCCCAGGTGAAGCAGGGAGCTGCCTGTCCAGCAGCCTGAGCCCTCACGGCAGGACCTACCTGACCGACTGCCACGTGTGAGGGACAGCAGGGGGAAAGCAGAACTGGAACAACAGCACAAGCTGAGTCACAGCCTTGAGGAATAAATGCATACGCACTTGGCAGTGTCACTCGTTATTCTCTCTTGCCTCATCCTCCTCCTCTTCCCGCTGTGAAGGGAGCTACAGGGAGAAAACGAGCCAAAGCCCTTGCCTTTCCCCCCACGCCATACAAACAACTTGGAACCCCTGAAGCAGAGTGTGGTCCAGGGTGAAGAAAAGAGCAAGCTCTCACACAAGATGCGCTCATCAGCTGCTGGTCACTGCTCCCAAGGCAGTGAAGAGGGAAGCACAGATGAGCAAATGGGGAGGCACAGGGTGAAATTAAGAGCAAGGAATGTGTGTTCAAGCTTGCCTGCAAAACAGAAATACACTGTGTGCTAGTGCCCTAGCACTGGCTCTCCTTCCATGCTAATCTAAGTCACACAGAGCTGGCCCAAGGGGGGAGCATCAGCTCTCAGCAAGTGAAACCAGAGGGCCTGGGAAGCTCTGCTGGAGTGGATGGGCCATGGATCAACCATGGATCACAGCCAGCGCTCCGCAAGCTTCTAGCACTGACCCAGTTGTGACTGCACAGCTTACTGTCATGGATCCTGGGCAAAACCCTGCACAAATCCTCAGACAGCAGCTC